TAATGTCACTGATATGCACATTTAGTTTGTTGTCAAATACTAATGAGATTCCCACTAGCAATGTAGTGGTAGTGACTACACCAACCAGATATATTATCTACAAAAGCACAAGCACACAGTGATTCACCTTTTCCGGAGGTTCAGATTAGACGTATCAAAAGTTTGTGCATGAGTAGACCGAGTAAAAGTAGATACTTATCATTGTGACAGATATAAGGTGTTACTATTATCACATTGTGTTTTTGAAGACATATTTGCAAAATATCTCAAGAACTAGCAGCATTGACTATATTTTAGAGCACTGAAATTGAAAACGTCATTAGAGATTGAGAGTTATGGAAAACAATACCAATCATCAAAATATTTAGTAATGGTCAAGTGTATGACGTTAGGTAACTATAATTTCACAGCACTGCAACTTGGTCTTTGGTCTTCAAATGGCGATGGTGACGTTTAGCCCATTTAAGATCTTGTGCGAGCAATGGTTTTGTGATGAGTGACATATCGGCAGAATTTCTATGCCCCAACCCAATTAAATTCACAATTGCTGGTAACTTGTGAAATACTACCAAAACTTTAAAATAAAAATACCAGAATATGTTATGTGTTGTAACTGTTTTTGCAGAAAAGTAGCCTGTCATACTGTGGATTTTATTTGAATGTATTTTATAAACAGTGGGTCTAATGTTTAGCCGTGTTACAGAGCGCACCCCTTATCTTGCTGGGGAAATATAATTTCAAATGTTCACAGTGTAGATTGTTATTTCTGTGCCGCCATATCATTATCAATATGACGCGCGAACGTTCTAACAATTCGATCACGCTTGCAACTCTTTCGAACTAGAACCGCTGCTAGGATCCTGACCAGAACGCGTAATTCCTTATAGTCCTGTAGAAATTGACATGAAAATAGTCAAACCCAGACATTTTGTGTAACGAACATTTTTTTGTTTTAAACTCTTTATACAGGTCTCTCAAAGCTGTAAAAAAAATTCAACCAAAATCAATCTTGAGGAAATATGATATTTCAACCAAAAAAATGACGTAATTGGCGGTTTTGGTTAAAATTCATTAAAACCATGTTTTTGTTAAAATCATTGGTATATATTTATGTTTGTCTTCAAAATATATGTAGTGATTTACCAAACATTTAAATATATAAAAATAGTTATGTTACCATGGTAACTGGTAAAATTTTAGACATAAAATTTCGAAATACTTGTTTTTAAGCATATTTTGTTAGCTTCAAGCATTTCACTGAACTCAGGTTTTAAGAATTGTGTAATTAAGTATAATAAGTAAAAGTAATTCAGTATTGATAAATGTTTATTTTGAAACTTGTATATTACCTGTGTGTGTTGTCTATAAAAATAATTTTGGTTAAAAAGGTAAAACCCACAATCCCATGCAGACAAATTATATGGCGATACGTAACTTCTGACGACGACAGAACGTTTCCTCAGTGTGACTTGGGCTATAATATCCAGTACAGTGAATCGAATTACCGCATAGAACTGGTGAGTGAGTTTGTTTTGTGTTCTTTGACTTGTGAATTTTCTTATGCAATGTTTACTTAATGATCTGCGGCTGGGTATGTTATTTCTGCTTTTGAAATACAACTGATAATATTCTGAGTGTGACGTTGATTATAATCGCCAGTATCAGTACAATGAATCCAAATTACCGCAGAGAACTAGTGAGTTTACCCTCTGACGACAATACTTGTCAGTTGATTTGTTTTGTTGTTGTCAGTTGTTTGTTTTGTGTTCTTATTTTCATGTGCAGACTTGCCTTAATTATCTGCATTTTTGTAAGTTATTTGTCGTTTAGTTGATGTAACAGGATAGGATATAATAATAGTATTTACAATGTGAATTATGTATGGGATTAAACTACGTTTGCATGTGATACCCGCAGTTGCATGTCCATCCATGTCTTGTTTGGTTGCGACAAGCAGTATTTCACATAACCAACAGTCTGTCCATACACAATTTGTCGATCATTTCATGGAGGCCAATAATCACCTAATGAAAGTCTCTTTATTTTTTTCTAGCGTAAATGTGACGATGCTGTTGGGAAATATTATCAGTTTCAACCAAGGTTGAAACTCTTATTCATAAATGATACGTGTGAATACAGGTTTGTATAATATTATACTTTTATCACATAATTCAAATCCGATGTTTACGATTTGTACTATTTAGTGTTTCAAGATATGCATTGAAATATACCAAGCATGTTATATCCTCAATGTTTCTCTTCCTATTGCAGATAAAACAGTATATTGAAGTACAAAACATGGCAACCTCCTCCTATAATAGTTGTGTTGTTTGTGGAGAGTGAGGATGTCAGCGATGGTAGAATCATGCGTGAACAAGGTCTATCCAAACTGACTGAATTATCTAAAAGACGACGGGATAACTTACATGAACATTTATCACACCAAAGTGAATATTTCGTACATTCTAAGTGCTACAAATCGTATACTGCACCTAAGAATATTATCAAAGCAAGCAAGAAAGCAAACTTTGAGTGTAGGGGAAGAGTATCCCCGATTCCGACTTTGCGATCTGTGAATAAACCTTATGACTATTCAACACACTGCCTCATATGTGCTGATGAACTTGACTTCCAGGCTCTTTCACGCCATCCCACACGTCACTCTTACATAAGTAATGTAAAAATGGTGAGCAAAGAGAAGAAATCTAGTATTATTCAGCAGAGTCTTCTCAAGGCCAGTGAAAGAAGAAATGACATGATAGCTGTGAATGTAAAAGCACGAATACAATTTGCAGGAGATATTCGAGCAGTGGATGCCAAGTATCATCGGACATGTATGCAATCTTTAATGTCAGAAAAAAACACTGCCAGCAGTCACACAGTGGTTGAATCAAATGTTCGCAATCTTGATGCATTGATTGATAAAGCGTTTAGAGATTTGTGTGATTTCTTCTGAACAACAAGTACACCAGTTTACACTAGGTGATCTTCGGGAACAATTGGCAATGTATCTGCCACAAGATGTTCCTGCATACAGCACTACTCACATCAAACGACGCCTTAATGAACAGTTTGGACAGAATATAACGATAGCTGAAGTTGAAGGCAGAATAAATGTCGTTACACTCACGGAACGAGCTGTATCAATTCTCCACGAGTCATATACTGATTCAGAAATCCCTGAATGTGTAGAGGAAGAACACATTAGACTTGCAAAATTGATTGCATCCAACATAAATCAAGATTTGCAAAGCATTGATCAGCCAACAGATGTGTACCCCATGCCCATAGAGATAGATGTTGGAAAGCTTGAAGGCGATATCCCTGATTCCCTCCAACACCTAATAACAGGCATGTTTACTGATTCACGTACAGAACAAGCTAAACGTAAAAAGAAGCTCTTGCAAATATCACTATGTCACATAATGATGCATGTAGCTGGGAAACAGACATACTTATCACCCTTGCTTCTATCAGTTGGTCTTTTTATACACCAGTCAACAAGGTCTCGAGTTCTTCTTGATGTGCTTTCTTCTCTTGGATTAAGTGCATAATATGATCAAGTAATGACATTTGAAAAATCTGCAGTCGTCAGTCACTCCATTGACAAGCTTCCTGTAGGCCTTGTTGAACAAAAAAGGGGTGGCGGCTTTTGCCAGTGGGTGGCAGATAACTTCGATTATAATGAAGACACAGTAACTGGCCATAACTCCACACATGTCGTGGGTATCATTACATGCAAAACACCATGCAGTAGTAAACAAGTACTCAGATGTAATTCAATGAAGACATGTTTCAGCAGATGAAATTGTTAAGGCGGGTAATTTTGACGAAATAATACGACCATATAAAACACCACCAAAATCTAACATGTCAGATGTAAAGTTCAGGCCTATCCAGCCTATAGAGGTAAATGTCATCGAATATGAACTTGTGGACACATTATGGCTGTTTTCTAGTCGTCTACACCAACAACCACCAAATTGGCAGGGCTTTATGTCACCAGTGATAGATGGTAACTGCCAGTGCTCAGCTGTGTTATACAACCCAATGATTCCTCTAAAGCCACAATCAAATGAAGCTGTTTATAGCACAATGGTATTTGTACAGTCCCAAGCTATGAAAGCAGGCATGTGTTGTGCAACATTGACATTTGACCAGCCACTATACCTGAAGGCTTACAAGACCAAACAGGAAAATAAACCTGAGTTCAGTCATATCAATTTGCGTCTTGGTGGTTTTCACCAACTGATGTCCTTTCTAGGAGCTGGATGCAAATTGATGGAAGGTATGATTTATGGGCAACTGTGTATGCAAGAAATTCGTTGCCAAAGATGATGGATGGAAAGGTCTATGCTAAGACATTGCGGGCTTATCTATTAACAGATGCTGCTCTACACTTGATATTATTGATGCCACTGGAAGAAAAATCAGGCTCTCTTGAACAGAATGAGATTGGCGCCAACACAACAAATGTCTCACTTCCTGAAGAGCAAGTGGTGAATGATGATACTGCTAATGGTGTTACTGAAGGTAATGCACCAATGAATAATGATGTAGGATGATAACTGATAACAACATATGGTCAACACTGTAAGATTTATACAAAGCTATGTATGTAACACATGACTTGCCAGTTGGTGAAATAGCTTCTTCTGATATGTTATGGGACCTTCACAAACAAGTGTGTGATATGAAGAAGGACAAGGAAAAGTCTCGAACAGGAAAGTTATGGGTTATGTTCATGAATATTGTATCTGTTGTTAGAATGTTCATAAGGGCTGAAAGGACTGGACATTGAAAGCGTCACCTTAAATCTACACATGATATGCTTCCTTATTTTGCTGCAGCAGGACACAATAACTACACAAAGAGTTCTCGTTTATATTTACAAGATTGTCAAGAATTATATATGTCCTTGCCTGTTGAAATCAATGGAAGATGGCCTATTTACTGTGCGTAGAAATAAGTAGCTTTTCTGGAGTGACACATGGTCAGACATGACCATTGAACAGAGCCTAATGAGGTCTGGGAAGACACAAGGAGAACTCATAAACATTACGCACCAAGAATCAGCCAGAACAAAATGGCTTCTTTCTGCACATATAATGGCACAGTACACTGAAGCACTTCGATCACTGACTGGTACTTTTACTGGAACTTGGTCGGAGCAGCATCGTGAATTTCATCCAGGAAACATCCAACGTGATGCTGCAGATCTCGCAAAATTCGAGGCCTTCCTTCTTGAGCACAATCCATTTACTGTTGAAGATGAAGATGAGTTAAGAAATGTTGCAACAGGCTTGATTGCTGATTACCGAGTGAATGTTGATGATTCACTACAAATAGGGCAGAATATCCATGCCAAGCTAACAGGCAAAACAGTTGCAGAAGTCATCATGAAGAAGGTTGACCAAGCTAAAACTTTTGCGGTATTGAGAAAGCTGATTAAGGTTGAAAAGGAAGATATTGCCATGTCATCAGCAGAACTCTACCAACGTCTGTTGTCAGTTGCATATCTGAATGGACTTCCGCAGCCAAGTGTATTTGCACACGAGCTTGCCACTGTTTCTCCAGCTTTTTTCCAAGATGATGGTAGCATGAGGAAGTCATAGAAGTCACAACTGGCTAATTATCTACTCCGGATGGATGATGATATCCTTGTTCAAAGAAATGATGAACCTACTGTGAAGGTGTTTGATGGATGTGCTCTTCTACACTGTATACCCTGGCCAAAGGTTGATGCACTGGATTCAGTATGTGAAGCTTTTGTTTCTGCAGACGATCAGTTGGGGTTCCACTCTACATAATTTTTGATAGTTACGAAATCACTACAACAAAGGATCCTGAGCAGAAGCGTCATCCTCTTCAGCACATATAATATCCAGATGTTGCAGTCAATGTTAAGACACCTGTTCCACAGAATAAGACAGCTTTTCTCTCTAATAAATTCAACAAGCAAAAGCTTATAAAGCTACTTTCTTTATATCTGACAGATGCTGAAGTTGTTGTAAAGCATGCAGGTGATGAAGGGGATGCTGATGTTGTTATTGTTCGCAATGTTGTTGAACTTACGAGAACAAACAATCACGTTGTTGTGATCGCTGATGACATAGATGTGTTGATCCTGCTACTTTATCATTCAAGTATGTCTGCTGACATCTTTCA